CTATTGAGTCCCCAGCAACGCCAACCACTACAATCCAAGCCCTTTTGGACTCTTCCTGCCGATACTTCTCAATAATTAAAACCTGCACCGGTTGATTCTTGAGGGTTGGATCTGCTAACTTCAAACGATGAATTAGGCCCCGGCATAGTTAGACCGGTGCATTATTCGAAATATACCGGTCAACCCTTTGGTCAACTCTTTGCCCTTCCATGAACGATTCATCCCCCTCCTAAGTTTGACCTTCTTGACCGGTCAACTTATATGGGTTTGACCTTTGACCGGTCATGGGTGAAATACACCCATCAATAAGCCCTCCACTTCTCGGTTATGCAATTGTGTCATAAGCGGGAAGTAAAAATCTGAAACAGGACTTTATATTTCGAATTTCAGCTTTTCCCGCCCAGGGATTTCAAAATTCAAATTTCAAAATTTGAATCGAGACACGTGTCGCGCCTCAACCATCCGTTCTGAATCGCTGTCAGCCCGTCCCTTCGTCTTCCCACGCGTCATCATTGCGCCGCCTCACGCGGCGCGCCCCTGAGTAGCCACGTCGCCCGTTCCCTTCCTTCCTTGCCTATATAAAGAGCTCCACCCCATTCATTTCTTAACTTCCTCTCGCGCGTCTCCTGAGTTTCACCGGTCAAGCCTCTCTCTCTAGCTTCCTAGCCCTCCGAGTCAAGTAAGCTCCATACTTTCTCTCATTAGCTTTCTTTATTCTCCATTTTTTCTCCCGTTAAATGTCTTCCTCGGACAGCCAGGATATTTCCGCCTCGGATGCCTACGCATCCGAGGAATCCCCATCTTCTTCCTCCTCCACCGGGTCATCTTTACCCAATTTTGAACACCGGTCGGTTCCCAACACCACCGTTCCCGAACCGCAGCCGGTTAACCAGATGCCCGGTCAGGTTTTTCAGGAGAGGGATGAACCGGTTGACGATGAGCCGGCTCCCTATGACCCTGATAACGAGTCATATGAGGGATGGGCGAACCGGCTGGAAGCGGCCGGTTACTTTCCCCTCCCCACTAGCTACCCCTCAGACATTTTTCCCCATGTTTCCAAAATTGCCCAAAACAAGGTTCGTAGGAATCTCCCGGAGGGGTACGTCTTTGAATTTGACCCACCTGGCCGAACATTATCGAGCCTCACCGGGATGATAGAATAGGCTTCCACATCACTTCTTTGGAGAGTGGCACCGTCTTCCCCCTCCGTCCCCTCCATGTCGAGTTGTGCTACTGTTTTAAAATTCTTCCCGGGCAACTTACGCCCAATGCCCATCGTTTCCTCAACGCCTTTGTAAATATCTGCGTTGAACTTAAGATCGACCCTTCCCTTCGCCTGTTTCTCTTCTTGTTTGAAGTCCTTCCCGGTAAGTCGGGATGCGACGGTTATGTCTATTTCAAGGGCCGTAACGGCCGTCAATTTATCTCCGATCTTCCACAAAGCAACCGGCAGTGGAAGGAAAAATTTGTTTTTATAAAATTTCCTTCCATTTCCCCTCTAGCCGGCATAAAGTGGAACGATCACCTCCTGAAACCGCAATACACTGAGCCGGCTAGCGCTCCAGACTTGGAAGAAAGTTTGGAGAAACTTTTACAAGGGGACCCGTTCACTGGGCAAATGTTCCACTACGGGGCCTGGATTTGGAGGATCTCACCGGGTGGCACGGGTACCCCCAGGGCTGATGAAGCAGCGGGGCACAGGGTACCCGCCCCGGGCAACACTACGGATGCTGGGGGTTCCAGTCACCCAGGTATCCTCCCCTCTTCTTTCTTCTTCCTTTTATTATACCGGTCCAAGTTCAAGTACTTATAGTTTCGCTTGTTTTACAAAGATGAACTTCAGAGCATTCAACATCCCCACGAAGAAGACCGGCGGCTCCTCCTCTGCTGCCCCCAGAACTGTACCGGTGCAACAGGAACCGGTGGAGATCAATTCCGAGGAGGAAACTCCTCCGACCGGGAGGACCGGTCAGGCCGGGAGGACCACGGTAAACCCTCCCCTAGACAAGGGGAAGGGGAAGGTCCGAACCAAGCACGCCGCCACCACCCATCCCTCGGCAAAGAGGAGGAGGGGAGAAAGCGTCCCGGCCACAGAGTCGTTAGAGGAGCTCTGGGTCAAGATGGGGCGAAAGCTGAAAGAGGTAACATTCGCCCGGTACATTTTCTTGAATTTATTACTTGTCTGTCGTACTAACCGGTACATTTCATTTTGCAGTGGGTGAGGTCGGGCCTGAAACCTTGGGGAGGCTTGCCGAGGACTCCCCTTCCCGGTCACTTCAGCTGGAGGAAAAACTGAAGAGGCTTGAAGCTCAGAACCGGGAGCTTCAAGACCTGACAACCCGGCAATTAGACGAGATGGCCAACCTCTCGGTGGTTGCTGGTAGGGCAAACGCAGAGGTCCTCCAGCTGAAAGAGGAGAATACGCAGTTGATGGGGGAAGTCTCCCACCTAAAGGAGGAGGCATGGGTGAAGGAGCAAGAGTTGCCCGGTCGGGCCAGACAATGGATGGAGGAGAACCTGGTGGAGGCCGCCCGGGTGCTTACTTCCTCCGAGGAAAGGACAATGGAGGGCTTCAAGTTGGTGTACCGGGAGGAGCAAAGGAAAGAGATGATTACCCAGATCGGCTCCTATGGTTTCATGTCTGGCCAAAAGCGAGACCGGGAGGCCACCCATGCGATCCTTGCCGAACGGGATCTGGACTTCAATGCCGAATCATACGGCCTGGCCCCCATCCCGGACGAAGAGCCTGCGCCTCCCTTCCCTCTCGAGTAGACTTCCCGGCTGCGCCCGGTTGTTGTGTTTTGTAAGCCGAAAACTATGAATTTTCCCGGGGATGCCCGGTGTAATATGTAAACATTTAACATTCTCGTTTTGTCGAATGCTATGTCTAATTTTCTTACCGGTTTATCTTGCATATTGCTTGCTTCTTGGTTGATACTTCGTTATTGCTTCTCAATTGTCTTCGACCGGTACATAAATCACGCCACTTCTTAATTGTCTTCGACCGGTAGAACATCAAAGTTCTTCTTGATCACTTTATGTGAAGGATCAACCCGAGTAACTTTGACCGGTCAAACTCTAGTTTTCGCTTTCCTGGCTTGTTTTGGAATATGCCAAGTCCAACCCGGTTGAACTATAGTGAACCGGTTGAACTTCAACTTTTGTCTTTCGAATGTCTTCATCATGATGGCCAACTTAAATAGTTTGACCGACCGAACTTTACTTTGGCCTATTGGATGGCTTCACAAATTCTTTGATAAAGTTTAAATTGACCGGTGAATTCCACTCCCTGGTGCCTTCCGATGGGTGTAGAACTTTCGAAGTTCTGCTGTGTCGATACCCAACCGGGGTATTTTTTTTTACTTGACCGGTAGGCTGTAGATGGAAACACCCGTAACCTAGTAATTCTTGAAGTATCCTTAACCGGTAAGAATACTAGAGATTTAACCATGTTGAATGGTTTCGAACCCTCTCCAAGGTCCAAATGCACCCTTCTTCCAGGGCCCCCTCTTCCGGGTGATTAAGTCTTTTAATGGCCCTTTGATTTCTACCATCCCGGGAACGCCTTAGCTCACCCTCCCGTTCAAGTCTTCCTTGAGAAGGGGGAAACAGGATGCGCCACGGTGGACGATCCCCTTCTATTTCTTTTAATGAGCATCTTTTAGTCCCCAATCAATTTGACGGCGCCGGCTGATTCCCCGACACCAGTCAAATCTCATGGGCCCGTGTAAGTACGGTTCGAACCTTTTTCCAGGTCCAGCCCTCTTGCGGGCATACCCTCTTCCGGGCCCCTCTTCCGGGTTTTAATATTTTTTCTATTATACTGAGCAAGACCGGTGTAGTAACCAGCGTGCCAGGTCCGGGCCTGTGTCTCAGTTGGCTTATCCAAGTGGATTCGATCCACCCAGGAAGCCCTCCTAGGATAGGTTCGACCTATCAATTCTGCCGCTACCAAGTAGAGTATTGAACATCATCGGTTTGATTGATAATAAAGTAGGCCTGGCCTAGTATTACAATCATGTGTAGAACTTGCGAAGATGATGGGAATTCCAGGTTCTTTCCACCGGTACACCTTCAAGAGTTTCTAACCGGTAGGTCCCCGGGCGAATGATAGCTCTCACCCGGTAAGGCCCTTCCCAGTTTTTGGCCAGCTTTCCTCCGTCTCCCGGTCTACTAGCCTCCCTTCTTCGCAGGACTTCATCGCCGACTTGAAAATATTGCGGTCCAACCTTGTTGTCGTGGTACTTCTTCACGACTTGTTGATATGTGCTCATTTTAACTTCCGCGGCCATTCTCCGCTCTTCGACCAAGTTGAGTTCGGCCAAGGGGTCTTCTTCATTTTGTTGGGGTGGATAATTTGATTCCCGGAACATTGGGAATTCAGCTTCGATGGGCAGCCTTGCTTCACACCCATAGGTTAGGGAGAATGGAGTTTCCCCGTGAGCCCTCCTGGGTGTTACTCGGAATGCCCATACGATGTGTGGGAGCTCTTCCAGCCACTTGTTTCCTGCCTCTCCCAGCCGTTTCTTCAAACCATCTACAATAGTTCTATTGGCGTTTTCGACTTGGCCATTTCCTTGGGGGTACGCCACCGAAGAGCGATTGTGCTTGATCCCAAAGCCCTCCAAGTATTCGGTGAACCTTGGATTTCGGAATTGTGGGCCGTTGTCGGTGATGAGGTTCATGGGCGCTCCAAACCTCGTGATGATGTTCTTCCAAATGAATTTCTTACATTGTTGCGTGGTGATGTTGGCCAATGCTTCGACCTCGATCCACTTGGTGAAGTAATCGATGGCTACGATTACGAACTTCTTCCCTCCTTGGGCGATTGGAAAGGCTCCAATAATATCAACCCCGAATCTAGCGAATGGGATGACATTCGATACGGGGTGGTAGTAGGTCGCCGGTCTACCGGGATACTTGTAGAATACTTGGCACGTCCTGCATTTCTGGACGTACCTTTCACAATCCTGTACAATTGTTGGCCAGTAATACCCCAACAAGATGATGCGTTGGGAAAGCGTACGGGACATTTGATGCGCCGCGCATACGCCTTCGTGAACCTCCGCGATGACTCGCTCAGCCTCCCGGTTGGTTAGACATCTCAGGAGTGGCCCCCCAAATGCCCTTTTATACAGCTTTCCATCAAGAACCTTGAATCGGGGTGCCCTGAGCTTCACTTTTCTTGCCCGATCATCTTGTTCTGGCAAGCTCCCATCCATCAGATATTCCATCAGATCATACATCCAATGGTCGTCCGCCCCGACCAGGTTTGACCGGTCAAATTGGCTTCTGGCCGTTATGGCGGTGACTTCCAATTTTTCGACGCTTGCACGGTCAAGGATCTCTACCCGGGCAAGTTTTGAAACATGTTCGGGAGCATACTGCGTCAACTTGGAGAGAAGGTCTGCATCCGCGTTTTCCGCCCGGGGAATTTGGGCGATCATGAACTCTTCGAAGCCTTTCAACAGGGCAAGTACAAGGTCCTTGTATTGTGCCATGCGTCCTTCCCTTGCTTCCATGTTACTGGTCACTTGCCCAACGATTAGGCTAGAGTCAGATTTGATACTGACCCGGCTGATTTCCAGGGCTTGGGCAAGTCTGAGCCCTCCAGCCAGAGCTTCATATTCTGCCTCATTGTTCGTCAGTTTGAAGTTGAAGACGATTGCATGGTAGATCTTGAACCCTTCTGGGGTGGTGAACACGATACCACCCCCGTATCCTCTAGGACCGGATGTCCCATCAACTGCCATCTCCCACCATTGCTCAGTGGGCTTGTTGACCGGTAAGTCTGGAGTTAGACCGGTCATTTCTACTAGGAAGTCAGCAAGGGCCTGTCCCTTGATTGCCGACCTTGGTCGGTACTCAATGTGGAATTGAGTTAACATCATCGCCCACTTCACCATCCTCCCGGAGGATGTTGAATTTCGCAACACTGCACCCAGCGGTTGGTCAGTCAAGACTTTTACCGGATGAGCTTGGAAGTAGGATGTTAACTTTTTGCGGAGATGAAAAGCACATAGGCTGTCTTTTCCATCGCCGTATATCTACTCTCAGCCCCGTTTAGTGCTTTGCTCACATAATAAATGGGCTTTTGTGCCCCATCATCTCTTATTAAAACGGAGCTTACAGCATTTGGGGAAATTCCCAGGTACAAATACAGAGTTTCACCCGGCTCGGGTTTAGACAATACAATATCCGACGCTAGGTACTCTTTCAGCTCCTCGAATGCCCTCCGGCATTCTTCGTCCCATGCGAATGTGCTGGCCTTCTTCAGAACTTTGAAGAAGGGCAGGGATCTCTTAGCTAACCGGGAAAGGAACCGGCTGAGGGCCGCTAAACGACCGGTCAACTTTTGAACATCCCTAACGGAGGTAGGGGCTTGCATTTCAGTGATAGCCCAGATTTTTTATGGGTTGGGCTCTATTCCTCTCTTGGTCACCAAGAATCCCAAGAACTTCCCGGTACGAACCGCGAAGACGCATTTCTTAGGATTCAGCCGGAGGTTGTACCTTGCCATGATATCGAACGTGGCTCGCATATCAGCCGGGTGGTTCAGAGATACCTGGCTTTTGATCAGCATGTCGTCGACGTATGCCTCCATGGTATTTGACCAGCCAATCCGGGTATTTGACCTCCCGGATGTGACCAACACTGAGGAGGTCTCTCACTTCCTTCTTGACGAAGTCTCACCGGTCACTGGCCAGGTACCGCTTCTTCTGGCGTACTGGTCGACTTCCTTCCCTCACGGCCAACCGGTGGCAGATAACAGAGCGATCTATTTCGGGCATATCCGCCACGCTCCATGCGAATATGCCCGCGTATTCTTGGAGGACCCGCGTAATCTGTGCTTTGAGATCCTCGGGGAGATGCCATGCTGATGTGAAGTTCGATTTCCACCGTCTCAGCCTCGGGCTCCAGTTTCTCCCGGGTCTCTCCCTTTGTGATCTCTTGGGAGATGAAATTGACCCCCTTGGTCATTTTCTTGACTGCCCGGGCATAGCATTCCCGGGCGTTCCTCTGGTCGCCCTTCACCTCACCCACATCACCTGGAGTGTGGAACTTCATGCATAGATGAGGCATGGAAATCACTGCCCCGACTCTATTGATGCCTGGCCTTCCAAGAATTGCGTTGTGGACGCATTTGATGTCCACAACTATGAACCGCATCTTCTTCCACACGGTCTTTTCACCTGATCCTAGTTCGACCGGTAGAACTATGGATCCTTCAGCTTCAGCGGTGTCCCCCGTGAAGCCTGAGAGATGGGTTTTGAGGGGTTCAAGTTGTGTTCGACACCATCTGAGTTTTTGGAAGGTCTCCAGGTATAAGATGTTGACACTGCTGCCGGTGTCAACAAGTACCCGGGCGACATCCACCCCATTAATGTCCATGGTGATGACCAATGGATCATTGTGATCTTCACCGGTAGGAGGGAGATCCCGGTCAGTAAAGACAATAGGCTCCCTCCTAGTATGTTTACGCCTGGGCGGTTCAGCACTTACCTCACCAACGTAAATGCTCCGGACCCAGTTCTTCCACTGCGCGGCTGAATCTCCATCCTCAGGTCCGCCGAAGATCATGCCGATGTGCTCCTTTTCGGGAGCAGGCTGCCGCTTCCTTGGCCGGTTATTCCTCCGCCGGTCATCTCTCGGGGCGATTGGCCTAACCCACTGATGACTCTTCTCCTGGGCCTTCTACAAGTAATCTTTGCCCAGCTCTCCACTGTCGATCATCTGCCGGATGACCCCCTTAACACTTTTGCATTCGAAGGTGTTATGGGAATCTAACCTGTGGTACGAACAATACGTGCCCGACCACTGCCGCCCTACTTGACCGGTAGGGTTTTCTAGAGGAATGACCGGTGCTTTCCGGATTTCTTGGCATTCTTCTGTATTGACCACTCGGATGACCGGGTCATAGTGGTGCCTCGGCCGGCTAGGTCCCGGTGCTTCTTCCTTCTTGACTTACACCGGCTTGGGCTTGTGACCATGCTCAGCTTTTCTCTTTGCCCGGAGCTGGGTTTCAGCTTCAGCAAACTCCCATGCTGTATGGTAGGCCTCTTGGTACGTGGCTCGGGGTTTCCGGCAGAACTCCTTGTATAGTTCCCCAGCACGTAAGCCATTTAAGAGGAGGGAGAGGACGGTCTTGTCATCCATCTCTTCCACCTTGTCTACCTCTTCCTTCCACCGGGTAAGGAACTGAGTGAGGTTCTCAGACTCCCTCTGCCCGGCTGTACTAAGATAGGTGAATTTCTTCCTCTTAGTACAGTTCTCCTGGAACTTGGCCTTGAATTTTGAGGCCAAATCACTGAACGAGTCAATGCTTCCCGGGCGAAGCTTATTGAACCATTCAGTGGCTCGGTTCCGCAAGGTCTGGAAGAAAAGAAGGCACTTTTCTTCATCGGTGCAACCGTTCATGGTCGCACTCTGGTTGAAGGAATCCAGATGGATTTCCGGATCTTCCTTCCCGGTGAATCTGGGGGCGTCGATCTTGACCTTTCGCGGGAAAGGTGTCAGATGGACCCTTGTGGTGAACGGGGACCCCGCCAAGGGTTTGTCCCGGTCATTCTTCTCTCCGACCTTCTTCTCCAGCCTTTCTAGTTTTGCCTCCATCTGCTGGACGCGGTCATTTGGAATGGTCAACCGGTTCGCCACCGGTAACCTGGGCTGGCTCTGTGCTTCCTCTTCCTGACGAGAGGCCCTCGTCCTTGCTGGCTCCTGCCGGTTAGACCGGGAGCGTCGGGTGCGGGCAGGCTCGGCCTCCCGCACCTCGCCTAGCCGGGCGAACGCGCTGACATGGGCAACGCTCTGCCCCAGCCTTTGCTTGGCTTACTTCCTCTGGCCTTCCTCCCTATCCCCCAGCCTTTCGAAGGCGGAGTTTCGGGAGTTTGCTGGCTGGATGTTTTTTCCTTTCTTCTTCTTGTGGGCCCTTGGAACGTCCCACTCGCCGTCATCGCTCTCAATTGAGACGCAATGACCATCAGGGGTGACCTGCGGATTCGTACCTTGCGGGGGACGCGACGGCCCTGCAGCGTTAAGTGCGTCGGTCAAGTTGACAGGGGCCATGGTGCTGACCAGCTGGGGCTGAAAAGGTGATGGCTGCGGCATCGGCGTCTGGAACGACGTCACCACCATCGGAGCTTGTAGGGGCATGGTTCCCGCGCCTGGAAGGGCGAATGGGAACATACCAGGGAGGAAAGGCATCACCCATTCTGTTGGCACATGGCCATGACTTGGCCAAAGCCCTGGATGGCTTGTAGGTTGGCTGGGTCATTCATGAACTGAGTCATGCTTGGTGGGAATGTGACCCTCGGTCCAGCAGAAGGGACGGGGGTCGCAAAGGGGCTGATCACGCTAGCCGTCGGGACAGTTCTCAGACCCAAAGGCAACACCGGGGCTGAAATGACCGGTATGGTAGCAGCCACAGGGATGTTGGTGCCCTCATTGGTGGCCTGCACCTGAGCGGAAGTAGCGTTGATTTGTTGGCTGGAAGACATTTCGAGTGGTGTTTTGGTGGGTAGGTTTATGTTTAGGAGAAGAAACTTTAACGGTCCCACGGTCGGCGCCAAAAATGATGGTGTAAATTACTTGACCGGTCAAACTATACTAGACCGGGTCTAGAATAGTTTGTTCGGTTTGGCAAAGTAAAAAGGTAAAAAACACGCAGATTGACCGGTATGACTTTAGGTGGAACACCTGTAGCCCAATTTATATTATGACGGAGAATGCACGGGTGCTTTTACAAGGGAGTTTTAGAGAGAATGAATTCAGATCCCCTTTCTGAAGTTTACAAGAGGTATATATACTAAGCTGGGGGGACAGGTCCACGTGCGCCCACGTGGGGGCACGCTGCCTATGTGGTGCGAGATGACTGTCCCTGAGCCGCCTTGTCANGAGTCCCCAGCAACGCCAACCACTACAATCCAAGCCCTTTTGGACTCTTCCTGCCGATACTTCTCAATAATTAAAACCTGCACCGGTTGATTCTTGAGGGTTGGATCTGCTAACTTCAAACGATGAATTAGGCCCCGGCATAGTTAGACCGGTGCATTATTCGAAATATACCGGTCAACCCTTTGGTCAACTCTTTGCCCTTCCATGAACGATTCATCCCCCTCCTAAGTTTGACCTTCTTGACCGGTCAACTTATATGGGTTTGACCTTTGACCGGTCATGGGTGAAATACACCCATCACTTGTAAATGAATTGAAGATTAAAGTTGCACACAGCTAAGACATTTTGAAATAAGTCCCGTGACAATTTTGGTCTAACGTGGGTTTGTGGCACCTTGTCCCCTCTAGCTTCCTAGCTATAAATACTTGTGTAATCCTCAAATGAAGGGATCCGGATTCTTTTCATTAAATCCTTGTGTAAAAGCTTCCATGTACTTTGCTATATTCGAATAACAATTGGGCTGCAGGTGTTCCGCATACAGTCCTCTCGGTTAATTTACGTGTTTGTTACTTTTTACTTTCTCAAATTCAGCAAATAATCTTAGACTCGATCTAACACTGTTTATTCGGTTATGTAATTTACACCAACAGTAAGCACGGGAAACATATTTTATTGGGTTTAATTTTTAAGGACAAGCTGGCCTGAAAATTCCTTAAAATTTAAAAAAGCTGGCATGAAATATGAAATCCCTGAAATGTCCCCTTACTCCCTTCTGGTTCTGTTGGGCAAAAGAACACCTGTCAGGTAAACCGAGCACCCAGCCGCAAGACTCCCGAGGTTTCTCCACCCGGCCGGTACGCTAAAAGGTCAGCTTGCCACCTCCCCAACCACCCAGCTCCAATTTCGTAATTTCACCGCCCTCCTCCCACCCCAGGCATCTCAATCCATCTTGCCCCAGCACTCCTTTCCTTCCCCTCTGCAACCCCATTTCCTTCTCCAGTTTACTGTCTCAGTGAATCTTGCGATCTCATCATTAAGCAACACACAACGCCATTTTTTTTCTGTGAAAATTGTTCTCGTTTTTTTACATTACATTTATTGGGTAGAAAATAAAGAGGAAAAATAGTCTTTGTTTCATTTGTCTTTACTTGTCCATTTTGGTTCTGGGTTCGGCTTACCTTAGTTTATTTTCTCGTGTTCTTCGCTCAATCTCCTCGAAGTTATCATCTTGTTTGTAAATGCAGAATCTTTAAAGATTCCCCTTTGGAGCGGTGGGTTGTTTATCCTGTTTCAGGGTGTATTTACATATACTTATGTATATATGGGTGTGTGATTTGTGTATTCAGACATCATGTATTGTTGAAAAGATTGATCTTTTGATTTTATCCCGCATTTTTTTTCTGCATGTAGGGTTATTGGTTGATCGATTCGTCGATCTAGAGATATCTAGCGCAGAAAGGGTTAGTCTATATTGAGCTAGGGGTGAGAGCTAGGGTTTAGGCCACGATCATGGCAATTGTGGAGAATGGCTCACAGGGAACAACTGTCAACAACAGCGGTGGGTTTCAGGCGCACTTTAGCAGCAACCACGACTTGGGTTCTGTGGGTTCTCCGGAGGACAATAATGATCAGGGATTGATGAACAATTGCAGCAGAGGAGAAGTTATTGCGGACAGTGGTGGTGATGGTGGTAGAGAGGAGGCTTTTAAGAGTGAGATGAGGGAGCTGGCGGAGATATTCTCTAAGTTGAACCCCATGGCTGAGGAATTCGTTCCTCTTTCTCTGGCTAAGAATGGCAACCTGTTTCTTAACGACAATAATAATATCAGTTCTGGGAGACGGGTATATATATACTTTTTACTGATGAAATAAACCCAGATTTTTCCTTCAGTTGTTGTTTGGTCTATCAATTGTTTTTTCGCAGAAGAGGAATGCCAATGCACGGGGAAAGAGAAAGATGAACACCAGGACAAGCCTTGCTCAAAGAGAAGACGTTATCAAGAGAACTGTTTATGTGTCTGACATTGATCATCAAGTAAAGAATGAGACCTTCAAATAATGATTTGTATTTTTCTCTCTTTCATTCTTTCTTTTTTCTTTCAGTATTGCTTATCTATTGATTGTATTGGTGCTAGATTACCGAGGAGCAGCTTGCAGCCTTGTTTCTTACCTGTGGTCAGGTAAATCTTTTCTTGTTGCTGATATGAGTTGTTGACATTGCCAATTGTTCTTTGAATAACATGTTCATTGCATATTAAGGTTGTTGACTGCCGTGTATGTGGCGATCCAAAGTCCATTCTTCGCTTTGCTTTTGTCGAGTTCACAGATGAGGGTAATTTTGACTCATGATGTGCTTCCGTCTATTCTTGCTCATTTTGATTAATGTTTTGTACTGTTTATACTCTTTGTCTTTTAAATTTAATGCCAACTTGTACTGTGTTTTTGGGGCTTATGAATTTGTAGAGGGAGCACAAGCTGCTCTGAGTCTTTCAGGAACTGTGCTTGGATATTACCCTCTTAGGGTGCTCCCATCCAAAACTGCAATAGCTCCGGTTAACCCCACATTCTTGCCCAGGGTGAGCTGATCTATTTTGGTTTTAAATTGTATTTTTAACAGTCTCTTGTATCCTCATCACTTGATTCAATGGTTTTTTTCTTCATTTGGTCATCAGGATGAGGATGAAAGGGAAATGTGTGCAAGAACAGTTTATTGTACAAATATAGACAAGAAGGTAGTGTTTGGTTGGTCTCACAAGGATCTTTATTTATGAATTTTAGACAAGAAGGTAGTATTTGGTGAAAATATAGACAAGAACAGTTTATTCACTTTATTGTACAAATATATCGGAGTAGACAAGAAGGTAGTATTTGGTTGGTCCATTTGAGTTTCATGGTTTGCTTATTTGGTGCAGGTTTCTCAAGCAGATGTCAAACTTTTTTTTGAATCAATCTGTGGAGAGGTTTGTGCTTTCTCCCATGATGCAAAAACTAAGGCATATATATTTCTCATCAATATTTCCTCGCCTTATCAAAAAAAAAATCCCCCATACTACTTGCTATAGGTTTATCGCCTGAGGCTGCTTGGAGATTATCACCATTTCACTCGCATTGCCTTTGTTGAATTCGTGATGGTATTCAGTTTCCTACTTTCTTTTTGTTTCCCCATGGGTTTATTTTACGTTCATCTCTTTTTCCCCTACCACTGCACCACAAGAGGTACTCCGTGTTTGGTTTAATCTCATATCTTAAGAAATGGTGACTAAAGATGCCTTAAGTTTGGTTTGGTTTCTTATAGTTGAATAAGGTCGGTTCTTTTGACACTGGCTACTAGTGTCATACTATGACACCAGTCCGTTTGGGGGTCATAGAGACAATACAGTGTTCCATTCGATCCCAAAATGGTTCTTACCCCTTATAAACCACCCAACCCAACCTGCCTCATGCCCCCACCCTAGACCCCCTAATTTGACGGTGGATTGTCACCCGAATTGGGTTAGGGGGCTGGGACGAGGGCTGGGCTGTGGTGGGGGGTTTTAGGGGGATTAGGGGGTAAGAACCACTATGATATCGAACGGATCATCGTAGGGTGCCGAAATGGACCGTGTCATAACATGACATTCAAACCCAGTGTCAAAAGAACATTGCAGTGTTCCGTAATTTTTCTCTCGTCCCGAATCAGCTTTGACATCACGAATAGCTTCTGCAATTTAGATGAAGTTTTTTTTTCAGAGTTGTGAATATTAATAACATGAGCAACGTTCCAGTGACACCGGAGAACGGTGCCACTCCGGTGCCACTGGGTTTTTGGGGCACCTCCGGTGCTCCGTTCGTAAAATTGACGGTTCCTACCCCCCTAACTCACCCCCTAAACCCCCCACCCTACCCCCACCCCTGCACCCCCGCCCCAACCCCGCCGTAACCCCACCACAAAATGTGTGGCTATTATGCAATGCATAATAGCCACACATTTTGTGGTGGGGATACAGCGGGGTTGGGGCGGGGGTGCAGGGGTGGGGGGTTTAGGGGGTGGGTTAGGGGGGGTAGGAACCGTCAATTTTACGAACGGAGCACCGGAGGTGCCTCAAAAACCCAGTGGCACCGCTAGTGGCACCGTTCTCCGGTGTCACTAGAACCGGGCCGTAATAACATTTTCTTGATTACTATGGGGACCTTTATCTGCATTTATTTTTTGTGTACAGGCTGAGAGTGCAATTGCTGCTCTCAATTGTAGTGGTGTGGTTCTAGGCTCACTACCTATCAGGTTAGCTTCAAACATTCTAGGGGCACACCACATATGACACCACTTTTGACACCATTGTGGCCCACACACACACACACAAACTGCAAAAGTGGTGTCATATGTGGTGTGCCTCTGGTCTTTTTCGGTTACCGCCACACCACATTCGGTTCAACAAATTCAAGAAGGAAAAGGAAATTGGAGGAAAACAGTAATTCTTTTTTTGAATGCGGAAAACAATAATTCTTGTTTGGATAGATAGCGAAAGAAAATAAGAGTGGAAGGAAAAGAAAACGGGAGAAGGAATGAACTAAGAAGAATGAAAACAACATTCCTTCCATTTTGGCGAGGAAAAGAAGAGAGAAAACATATTTTCTTTTCTTATCATTGGGAAACTTGGACTTAACTTTTGTGCATAATCCTCAGGGTAAGCCCATCAAAGACTCCGGTCCGCCCCCGCTCTCCTCGCCCACAAATGCACGGGACCAGCATTGCCACGTCAGACTGATTCGTGATGGCCCACACTCATATCCACGTCAGCTGCCACATCTCCTCCTGTAAAGAACTTTTCTTCAGCCTCCCCCCCCCTTTTTTTACGTTCTTCGCCGTGTCTTCTCAATATCTTTATCAATGTTGGTATCTCGTACGCTTAGTGGTTGTCGTCTGTTTATTCTTACACGTGTAGATTGCAGTCTCTTCTTCTTCTTCTTCTTCGACGTTTTGCTGTGTAAACACCTTTGTGATTTTGATTTCTTTTCTATGGTTCCCACGTACTTTTGGTCGAAAATCTGCTAAAGAATATAGCAATTTCTCTGTTGTTTCATCTCTGTTCTTGGTTGAATATAGTAGTAATCTATAGATATAGCAGAATGAGTGAAATCCATTATAAATATGGAAAGTGTGGGATCTGTAAAATGTGGACAAACTGATTTTAAATCCATTAGAGTCACACACAATTATCAAGCAATAATTTGGAGTACCATAATCATAACAATCTTCATTCGAATTGAAAATCCCTCTTTTGTCTCTCTACTAGTAGTTTTTATATTTAAAACTTTTCAAAGCCCAAAACCTTTTACTTCTATTTCAATGTGAAACTATATTTGATTAAAATTATTTTTTAAAAAGGCAGAATAGAAAAACTCAGAAGAATTATAAATCTTTATACAAATGAAAACCCAATAAGCCAAACCGGGAATTTTTTATAAAAAAAAATGAAAGGGGAAAATAAGCAACACGCCCACACTGTGATGTCAAATACCAGATCAACAAATGAAAAAAACTAATGAATGGTGATTAGGTATTGCAAAATAATGTAGACAACAATTCAATGGAACGTCATTAATAAAGATGACTAATTTTTTTACATTAGGGAAAAAAGATTGAAGTAGGAATAAAACATTGAAAATATATCAAAATAAGAGTTTCATGTTTTTATTCCTGAAATAAGAGTTAAAATACATTTACATTATCAATAATGACCATGTGCGTTGCCAAAAAGTAAAGTAAAATGCACATGTAATTCCCACAGTGGGAATTCCTATTTAGGGAATAAAAACATGAAATTCTTATTCTAATAGTTTTTCTATGTTTACTCCTATTTAGAGAAATTCATATCAGTATTTAACTCTCATAGATAGGCATGTCAAGTCAACTTAGAAAAAAAAGTTATTTGAATATTTTCTTTTGAAAGGACCCGTTTGGCATCAGCGTTAGATATTAGCGTTACCGTTTTGAAAATTTTATCCAAAACGCTAATGCTAATAGAAAATATGGTTTCCAAACAAGGCCAAAATTTGATTAAGTTCTAGATATATGTCACAATATTATAAATAGAATTATAATTTTACATTTACACTCCCGATGTCCCACTAAAAGTGTCTCATTAATTACTCGATAAAAGTGTCTCAGGAAATTTTGGAGTATAACAAAGCTTAGCTAAAATTATTTTCAATTAAAGTTATTTAAATAATACGAAGTATTATGTTATACAGATTTGTATATGTGAAAACCACATAAAAAATTATCTACTCCGTATAAAATAAGAAGTAACATAATGAATTCTTTTATCAATGATTAACAAAAAATAAATATTAAAAAAAGAAAATATTTGACAAATAAATATTGAACAAAGACAATTTTTATGGAATGGACGGAGTACATGACTTTAAAAAGCAAGAAGACAATGTAATATCCGTATCATTAAAAACTCTTCAAAAAAGATAATTTTATAAAATAAAATTAAGAAAGAAAAAGATATGATAACTTAATTTTTATCTCTTTATTTTTCATACTAAAGTACTCCGTAAATGTTTTGAAAACGTTAAAGTATCCGACATCGAAAATAGAAGAAAAAAGTAATTGGTATATAAATTAAGTAATTGATTGAATTCAATCTTCTAATGTGATTCAGCCCAAGTGACTCCAAAATTCAATCTTCTAAGTGATTGAATTCAATCTTCTAATCTCCTAAATTCTATCGTAGTATCAAAACAAGTTTTAACTCACCTCATTTGTTAAGAGGTGTCCGTCTTAGAATTCATTCCTAGCGGCCAAGTAGTCTTTAGGACAATTGTTTGTATGAAAAATGACTTGTGGACCGTTTGACTTGATTGTTCGTCTGCATATCCATATCCAGCGATACGTATTCCTTTAAGTGTTTGCACTTGCGATCCTTTCATTTCTTTCAGAAGAAGAGTCAATTTAAATGTGGTCAACCCATTAGATTCAAAATGAGCTAATTGTCCATTTTAGAGGGAGTGTTAAAATATCCCACATCAAAAATGGACAAGAAATATAACCGGTACATAAGATTTATAAGATGAACTAAATAATTCATTGAATATAGTTTTTTAATATGGCTTAACCAAATGTCTTATGATCCAGTCCAGTAACTCATACCTTATCCTAAATTCTATCTAGTGGATCAAGTTTGATCTAGTTTGACTCATTTTTAATGAATCATGTTGGATTCTATCATTTTTTTTTATTCAAAATCTTTTACGGAGATCTTAAAATCGGGTCTCGAATAAAAAATTGGCTAATCATTTTTTTCCAGCTTTACCGAGTACATTTCCGAATCCCTCAAGAGTCTAAGGATAAAAATCTGCACAACCTTACCACTATAAAAATAAACAAGAGAAGCTGTTCTCTTTAAGCCGATGATGCATTTACTAACCCAAAACATGGGCATCACATTGAAAAATCAAAGGCAACTGTTGTTCAAAATGGCTTGAACTTAACATGTTAGTTTTGCAGAAAGAGAAAGTTGATAGTGAAAGCATTAATAATTTACAAAATACTATAGATACATTATGGAACCAGCTTCTGGCTAAGTTCTACCTCTACTTAGTGTTGCTCTTCCGTCCTCCGGATGAAATTGCTCTTCAATATCCCAACAGGAGGCCGCACCCCATCTTCTCAAGTATCTTTCGAAGTTGCCTAAATGCAAAAGCCACTTGACAAGCTCCAGCCTACACAGAGGTCCTGGCATCATGGAATGACAATATTGCAGGCACAGTTGTGTGGAGTAATAAGATAGCATTAGCATAAAAGTGAAAGAACAATAACTAAAACAGAAACCTTAACACAATTAATGATGTTATTCTCCTGCACCGAGAAAGAGATGTTCAGTCGTGTTCCATTCTAAGATTTTAAAACATGGTCTTAATCTAAAACAACTATATCAACTCCTCAATGTCAAGAGAATGTCATTTGATTATTATTACCTTGATCCCTCCTAAGGAGGCAACAGGACGAGCATCCGCTGTAAACCTGTTACTGTGTTTTTAGTGCAAGAAATAATATTGTTCTTTGTTAACTAACTAATTGACACTAAATTTCTTGGTATCACCTAGGTCCGTCCTAACTACTACCTCCGTCCCACTGTTTTTCTCCCTTTTTGCCATTTTTGTCTGTCCCACTATTTTTGTCTCATTCCATATTTGGTTATATGTGCGTTTTACACTCATTCTTACTTTATCCTACTTTTTAACATCACTATCAACCACACAATCTTAAATTTCCTAATTTTCCTGTCACTCCACCATGTCCCAAAAGTAGTGAGACGTAAGAGAATTAGAGATTAGGGTGTTAGTGATGATGATATAAGCACAAGTGGTATATGGTTGTGGAATTGTTTGAGGTTTTAGTGTAGTGTTGACTTTGGCATGAGTCTTGGGCTTTCACTTTGATGTAATTTTGTTTTTCATGTTTGGCAGGATATCCCCCAAATGTGGTAGCTTTGGACAACGTTAAACTTGAAACTGTATTACTACTTGGGCTATGTTCGGCATAACGAGCTGAAACTTATAGAGATACGTTCTTAACAATAGACTATTGTTCGAGCTGGATGACTCACTGTCTGAAGCAGCATTTGCGGTTGTTAAACCTGAAATGCGAACTAAACCGAACCAAATTAAATATATACTCTCTCGGTTACACTTGTGTTCACATGTAGTTCAAGAAATGGTGAGGGGAGAAAGAAAAGTGGGCGAGAGAAGAAAAAACAAAAATAGAAATTTCAATTTTGCAGACTCCAGATCAGTGGGACTTATGTGATGAACTTCAGTGTTATTTGTAGTTCATGAATTCAAACAGTTAATAACTCAGGTCTTGAACAAAAATACAAACAAAATCACAGAGAGCTATAGAGCCACAAATTTAAACTTGGCCAATGTGCTACAGGGCTTCAACCCCCAAACAAACACTCTTTGTTCAATTAGTAGCACTTTAAGTACAAAAGTTGGAAATTAAAGAGACTTAGGTCCATCCTACACAGAGGTCCCTTAAACACTCTTCAACTGTACTGCCTTCAAAAATTAGGTCCACCTTGTAGATGCTGTTTGTTTGAAACTCAAGTCTTCTTCAACTGATGACAATAATATTGTCTCTTAAAATATTTTTCTATTTGTGTATCGGCACTCTCTATCTCATGAACGTTACTGGAATATTTTTACAATCGATTGTCTTTCCCTTCCTCTTGAATATTTGACCTTCTACTTGTAATGGAGAGAAATAGATCAGGGATTGGAATATAAATCAAAGTCTGATTCTAAAACAAAGTTGCATAGTTGAAATAGGAAACTAATCATTAATTGAAGATTCCTAATATTGTTTTTTTCCTAGAAAAAGAAGAAGATTCCTAATACTGTTAATTGTTGGAATAAGAAACAAATCCTTAATTTAAGTCTCCAATATCTATCCATATCTTTATAAACCCAAAAACATCTCTTTCACACTAATATTATGTTACTGCATTAACAATCTCCCTCTTTGGCACGCTTGACAAATTTCATGAACTTTTATATATCACACTTGCATTTCTTACCACTTATGGATTGCATTCCCTCTTGATCTTCTTTCCGTTTTTGGTAAACCCGCCATTCACCAGTGCCTTAAGTGAGACGATGTCACATCTTTAAGTTCCTTGAGTCTACCCAAATAGTAGTCCATCATTATCACTCAAGAAAAGGCAATGATTTGGCTCTTGCTATGAAGATTTCCGTCTGTTAGTTATTGGACTTCAAGAGCAAGTGGGACTTCCTGCAACTCTTTGACTTTCCGTCTTTTAGTTCCACTCTATTGGTGCTTCTTTTTCAAATAGTACGTATTGGATGATTTTCCAGACCAGCATTATCTCCATTTTTTTCCCTGGTTTGTTCCATGTACAACAGAAGGTAGTCCTTGAGAAAACTTTGACCATTTCATGTGGTTAAATTGGGCTTGCTTCCAGAGTTCCAGATGATTCCCCGGTACAATAAAGATTTTTTGTAAGTTTCTCGATCAACTTTAAGCTCTCTTGATCCTTTTTCTAGCCTCTTGAATCTGGATATTCTATTAGTTAATTTCTTATTTGGCTTTTGTAAGATCCTTTACTTAGTGTTTCCTTGCTAGTGAATAAAGTTCAGCGTACATCTCTTTAGACAACCTATAGATCTTGTGAGGGTCGACAACCATCATCGTTTTCATTGACATCATCATCAACATCATCTTGAGTTTTTATTATCCTTTCAGAAATTCTGCCTATATTGCCAACATATTCATCTGTGAAACCTTGTATGCTAGACTCATCGTCACTCCATGTGTCTTTCTTCTTTCAACCTTTTTATCCATCATTAAATAGCCAAATTTTCTAGCTAATTGTTCTGTTGTATATTCTTCCGTTCTCTCAGTATCACCACTGAAGTTCTGGATTTCATTTTGCACTGAAGTCCTTCAAGATTTAACTGTATCTCAACACCTTCCATCATATAATTATGAGACTTCCTCACTGAATCTCACCAATTAGTTAGGTGACTTTGCTCTAATACCAATTCCAAGTTTCAAGACTCGTAATAAACATGGATTTTACATTTGAATAGACCAGTGGGACTTTGGTGCTGTCAATATCCAGAGACTTATGTAACGTGTTATTCGGTCATAGTTTCAATATTCTTTGGTGGAAATCTTACACCATAAAATTACGTAAAAATATGTAATACCGGCATGAAATAGGTTTTCGAATAAATCACAGGATAAGAAATTTTTGGCATAATAAAATAAAACGCCAAAGCATTAGTGTTTCACTCGAGCTAAGAAAAACTTCAGCTTAGCCTTATATCTAAAACAGGCAACCTTAAAGAGCTGGATTTGGAAGAAGCAAAGAATCAATCATGCACTGAATCAGTATGTCCTAACTGTTTCTTGAATGATGAAAAAGTGCTGCCTGGATTTTACCATTGCCTTAGGCTCCAAAATCAAGATCCCACAGCTTAAGACTCTCCTCTAATTGTTACGCTTTTATAATCTACTAATCAATTTCAGATTGCCCAAACAAAGAAAATCAAAATCTGAAGAGCAAAGAACATGAAGCAGAAAGCAAGAATGGGAGCAGCAAGTGCATGTTTCCTAATAAAATTAGCAAAACAATAAAAGGGATTCAAACTGACCGAGCAAGCTGCAACAACAATGGTGGATGCGTCTTCTAGCTGCATATAGGGCAGAGCACCAAGCCGTTCTCGTTGCAATCCGAGCACCTCACCACCACAGTCCTGCCATGCTTCTCCTCCATGTCTTCCCTCACCACCATAACCATCTTACAGCTTCCATTACATGTAAAACACGGCAAGAATCGTGCACCCCCACAGCCTTCACACACGTACCCAGCCCTCAATTTCGGCAATCCTTGAAGCAAATCTCCCAATCTCCCTTCGTCAGCAATCTTCAGTAGCTCTTCGGCACCTCCAATGTATCTTCCTCTCACAAACACCCTGGGAGGTACCACCTCACTGCTGTCTTTACCCTTCATGAGCTCCCTGAGCTCTTCCCTAAACCCCTTGTCCATAGAAATATCCCTTTCGCAGAGGGAAACCCCAGCTCCCTCAATCACGGATCTAACTGCGCTGCAAGCCTCAAAGGTTTTTCTCACACCTCGTAAAGAGGTCGTATAGATCACCACCTTGTTTCCCCCATTTGGTGGACAAAGCTCTTCGAATCCCTCCAGGGAAGGGTACATGGAATTGAAAGATTTCTTCGAAATCACTGTTTCGGCTAACCTCAACGGCTGTAGAACGTTCAAATCATCAGCTTCTGCTCCTCCGTCTGAAGAGAAATTAGGGTTCGAGTTCTCTTTATCAGACATTTGCATCAAGCGCATAGGGGAATTTCTGAAGCTAGAGTCCGCGGTGGAAGTGGGTAAAGCAGCAAATGAGAAGCTCTGAGAGGGGCTTTTGCTCAACGGCGTTGCTGAATCAAGACCGGACATGAGCTCCCAGGAGTTGATAACTTCCGACGGCGGTTCAGGCAGCTTTATCACCGATCTAGGTTCAGACAGAAACGGGCTAGCAAAGAGCGTACCGAGACTGAACCGAGTGGGTGGAATTGGTGTAGCTGGAGCGGTGGTCCGCACCGGAGAAGAACCATTCTTGTTGTCGTCGGATGACGGCGCCGGCGGATCGAGGGTCAAGAGGCCGTAGGTGGTGGAGGTGAGGGACACAATGTGGTGGCCAAAGGCGGCAGAGCCGCCGATCTGAGCGAACTCGTCGTCCTGGCTGAGCAGAGTAGACGAAACGCACCCCATTGTGATTCCAGCAAACGGGGAGGAGAGTAAGGATGCTTTGAAGGGAGGGAGATAAAGGCAAGGGGTGAGTTTGAACAGAAGTGCTTTAATGGCGGTACGGTTGGAACTTGGAACAGATGACGGGATTCATTTATCCACCCAATTTTGAATTGTTGGTTTTCACTTTATAGCGCTTACAAATTTTGAATTGTTGGTTTCCCCAAGTGATGCGTAAAAAATTATAAATACAAATAAGAAAAGACTACACAACTAACAGCATTGGAATGACAAGTCAAAAAATGGAATGTCACATGGTAATGTAGAACATTTCAATCAATCAAAAAGAGTATAATCTGGTAAGTGGATGGAGTGGCATGTCATGCAGTGGCAAGTAATTGTTTTTATCATTTTTTACACTTTTGTGACATATTTTAATTATAAAATTTTTTTTATTTATCTTTTTTTCCATAAAAATATATGCACTTCATATTAAAAAAAACCTTTTTTCTACAAATAAAAAAATAAAAATAATAAAAATAATAAGAAAACAAGAAGAGAAGAATGACTCGCCCAAGCCATGCCTTGCATGGAGGATGTGACATGGCGTGGCAGGCATTTGCCTCGCCACTGTCAATGCTCTAATAAGAATGAGGACAATGTAACACTATATGTTTTAATTTTTCTATTTATTACTCCCACTGTTCTAAAAAAATTGTGACACTTCATTATTCAAAAATTATAGAAACTTTTATTTATTTTCACGTTTTTATTAATTATTTGATAAAATAAAATATTCATATAATATCTTGTTTTGTAGATATTTTGGTGTAATATTTAAATATGTAATTTCTATTTTTTATTTCTATACCAAACTTTAAATAAAATGAATTGAAAAGGTTTAATAATTTACTTTGTTTAGCGTAATGTTGCAATCTTTTTGGGACGGGGAGAGTATCAAATTAGTATCTCAATTCAATGTCCACCGCCACCACTGTTCAATATTCACAACCACCACTATTCAATATCCACCGCCACTAAATCTTGTTCCTGATCAATGTCTACAAATTTCACATTGGGAAAAACGGGTGTTTTAGTACTATTTAGTGCAAATTTCACATTAATAAATCAATTTTATCAATTTAGGTTTGTTCTCTTCACCTAAAATGATTGATTCTGATTTGACAAAAAAATTAATCGCATTATATTTGATCTGATCTAATTGTAGTTATATTTAAAATTGTCTCTGATATGGTTTGACCTGATTCGAAAAAGTTGATAGATAACAAGCTTTAATTCTTATTACTCTATACTTACTATTTATCCTTATTGGAATCATATTAGAAATAACTTTAAATACAACTTGATTGGTATATCCTTATACCCGACCCGGATAACCAGAAGGGACAGGTCAATATATGACCGGTCAGTTTTATCAATCACCAAATGAGGTTAACTCTTCGATTGGGACGGGTCAAAAGTTGACCGGTCACTTCTTCTAAAAAAATGATCGGTCACATTTTGGGCGATAGCCAAAATGTCGCCTAATGTTACAAAAGACATTCTAGAAGACCAGAGACGGGTTGAGCGCAAAGAATGACCGGGTAACCTTTGAGAGAAGGTGACCGGTCATGTCACTTTACTTTGCAAACATTGGTCCAGTATCTCAGGCATGGTGAACCACGTATGAGATCAAGGGACCACCCCGCCGTTCGTCCATCACGAGGCAAACAGTGAAAGGAATGTTTGTCATTTTGCAGGGCTCGTTGGATTGAGAATATCCATTTATAGTCTTTGATTGAACAATACATGTCTTGGCTTGTAGTTGCTAAATTCATTGATTGAATAGTAGATTGATTATGTACAGTGACCTTCCTCCGGGTTTCCTATTTTGTCTATGGATGAACATGGGAAGGTCACAAATCCTCCTCTATAAATATGATGATATTGGATAGAGGGGGGATCCAATTTTTCTCTCACTAAAGTTCACTCTTGAGATAGAGTAAGAAATATAATTCGGACTGAGGAGATTTACCCGGTCTAGGTCATACTTTGTATTCTTGTTGTGTGTTTTATATTACGGGTCGAGTGTGTCCAGGTCAAACCCGGTTAACCCACCCCGCTATATTTACACCATCACAACTATAACTAGATCAGACCAAATCATAAACAATTTTAAATATAACTACAATCTGATAAGACCAAATCCGATTAAAACTTACTCCAATCAGATCAGGTAGGAAACAAACTCTAAGAGTTGGTATACCATAGACCGGGTGTACCTAGTCCTAGGTACATCTAGCAAATACGTATTTTGGAGTAACATGCTTAGTTTATTTTGCATATTTTTTATTTTAGCTCTACTTTGTTGATTGTTTATTTGCAAAAATACTCCCTCCGTCCCAAAAAGATTGATACATTTTGACTAAAGTGGTAAAATAAGGAGGGATATTTTGGTGTTGACTTTCCAAAAATACCCTTGATGTAATGGGTAAAAGTATGATGTGATGGGTAGATTATTAGGAAAAATTTATGATGTGATAGGTAGGGTATGAAAAAGTAAGGGGTAAAAGTGATTTTTTAATAGAAATGGAAAGGACTTTAAGGGACACAAATTTTTCGAAATGTAACTGACTTTTTGGGACGGAGGGAGTATTCATTTGTGCACATTTGCAAATATATGTAGAAAAGAAAGGATTTTTTGCCCGAGCCAAAAATGATATGAGAATAATCAGGGTTTTTTTATTATTCCTGTAACGCCCCAAAAATAGGCCTATCAGAGTTAATTAGTTTATAATTAATTAATTACTGAGAAGGACCCAAAAATAAGTAAATTCTAAAGTTTGTCAATAAATAATGAAAATCATATCATTGTGTAGAGTTTGACTGTCTGATCCCAATGGTTCAATCGGATTTCAATTTGGAGAAAGTTGGAACAAAAAGTGTACCCCAACTGGGACCAAAATTAGTCCCAATCAGGGACTACACAATAAACGGCGCCCTGTTCAATTACGCCGATTCCAAATTCGCCTCTCAATCACGGAAGCTGCAAACCTGTGTCTTCTTCTTCTTCTTCCCTGGGCTATTTAATGACAACCCAACTCCCTCATTTCAACACCAAAACCACTCATTCTTCCTTCTATATTGTTCCTTGCTGAGAGTAGAGTGCAGTGGTGCTGTCATCTTTGTGTGAGGTCGCCGGAGCAGTGAGATAGAGTCACCGGAAGGTTCGCCGGAAAATCTTCAAAACCTCCCTTACGCTTCAAGGTAAGCCCGTAGATATATCTAAAGATTAGAATGTTCATATAGGTTGTTTTTACGTTCATAAATGGTCATTTGGTTGAGTTTTGTGTTGGACATGTTTGAAGAACCAAGAATCATAAACCTTGAATTTGATGTTAAAAATATGTTTTAATGATTCTAAAATGATCTATGAACCTTGGAGAACATTTCTATATAATTTAATTGAAGTTTGGTAACTAAAATTGATATGTCCGAAAATGGACCGAAGGTAGAAGATGATGAACAGTAGCCGAAAATCGATTATATTCTTACTAAAAATCGATTAGAA